TATGAATTTAAACTTGCTAACAATGCCCAAATTTTATTACATGTTTAAGAAGAAAAAGCATTCTAAGATAGGAGAACGCAATGTTAAATGCGATGATGTATTTCTTTTCGAACATCATTTAAATGAGCCAAAATATAAAATAGTTTGAGATTTTTATAAATATCTTGCCCAAGACAAATCAAAGCCCTATTATGAAAATGTCACATTTTTTTCACTATCTTCTGATAAAATCCCAGATCCCAAAAAGTTTAATGCTAAAAGAAGTACATTAGCAATATTTGAAGATCTTTACTCTAACCCCAGCTATACAGAAAAAAATTATTCTATTTTTTACTCGAGGTCGTCATGAGAATATTTCCTCGATTTATGTTGCTCAGAAATTCTACAAAATCCCAATAAATATTCATGAAAATGCCACTCACATTGTTTTCTTTAATAGTGGGGGCTCTATTCGAAAACTTGAAGATATTATAAGTCCTTACACTGATGTAGATCCGCGAAAAGCTTCAAAAATTATTGATGGTTATTTGAGGCAAAAAGAGTTTATAGTTATAAATCTGAATAAACCCAGATCTAAGTCTTTCTCATTTCGATGGGACACCCCTCTTGATCTAGAAAAGAAAATCGAGGAATTAAAAGATAATAAACATTCTGTCTAACCAGGGTAATATTTCAGAAGATATAATACTTTAAAATCGGATAAAATAAGGCATAACAATCGAATAATTATTTTTTTGGTTATTTATTAATACAACAATATAAGTACATCCTACTCACTTCTTCTTATAAAATTGAGAAAATGCACGTATCCAGCCTATCTAGTATTTAAATTGAGGTGGATATTTTTAGTATCTTATTCACTATTATTCTCCAATGAAATAGCTATCAGTATCCAGCCTAATTGAGGTTGAAGTAGATATTGAAAAATAAATAAATTCTGTAGTTTATTTGTACCAAGGAGATTTTTGTACTGGGTAAAATAGATTGATATGAAAAATCAAAGTAAAAAATGTTACTTCTTTTTTTTAGAAAAGATAACAAAATAAAATTTATTTTTAATAGATATATATGAATATATAGATATGTATATTGTGAAGCTATAAATTGATAATTTGATGCATTTCTTCATGAACTGTTTATAATAATTTATTCGATTCTAATAAATGGCAGGTATTTATTATCAATATATAATTCAGGATTTTGTATCCTCTTTAATATTATATACCATTGCTTACTATCAATTACTCTGTATCCTTGTTGTTCTAATAAATTTAAAACGTGGTTATATAATCTTTTTTGTAATTAATATTTCTTAGCATCTGCCCAACTTTTAAGACTATAATGATAAAACATTTTAAGTAAATTTTGAGTATATGCTGGTACATCTTTAGCTAGAATTATTCTCCCACCATATCCAATATAAGAAGTTTCAGGAAGTCTTATTTTTCGAGGAGTTATACCTAAAAGCTTCTTGTTCTCAGAAGTATCATTATTTCTGACTGCTTCCCAGATTCTATTGGATTCTGATTCAGGCTTTTTCTTATAATTTTGATAAGCAGTTTGTATAATTCTTGCTTTTCTGAAATCGGTCTTTGGTTTATCACAATCATTATCCCAATGACTGGTCATCAAATCACTAGGTACGAGACGATCAACATATCTTTGTCTAGTAAAATGAAATGATTTTTTAGGTTGCACGTCATCAATTTTTATAAGTTTCTAGCAACCAAAACAAATAGCTATATGACTTTTATGAATCCTTGGTCTGTAATAATCAAAATTAACAAATTTACCTTTACCATATAACATAAATAAACAATATCGATGATATATACTAAATTTTTCTGAATTTAACAAATCTTGTAATGAAATTCTTACTCATATTGCCTATTAAACAGGTGTTTCGTTCTGTTTTATGGTAGATAAAATGTCAAATAATCTCTTATTATCAAAAATTTGATTGAGTTTATTAGTATAAGTTCCACCATAATATGATATATATGATACAGCATACTTCATATTAAAACTAGGACGATTAATATACGGCTTAGGAAGAGTAGTGACAAAAGGGGGGTTCTGGGGTCTGAATTCTGACTCTAGCTTTCCTGCCTTTCTAACGACCTCTACAAGTCTTTCTAGATATATTTAATCATATATCGAATTCAAGCTCTAAATTAAACTAGAGCAAAATCCTGTTAACTTTCTCTCCTTACTCTTAAATTTGGGCTTCCAACTTTAAAGAGTATATAGTCTTTGTTAATGCTCTGGCTATGATTTTAATTCCAAACAAGATAACAAAATAATTATACTATTTCACTTGCCCTTGAAATGAGCAGAGAAGCACCGAGGACTGAAGCGTCCGAGTATGCTTCTCTGCGAGCCCATTCAAGCATAAAATGTATACTATTTTCTATGTTATCCTAGAATTAATTCAAAAAGCGATTCATTACTTTCTAGCAAAGGACAAAAAGTCTTACCTAAAATCGGCTTGTCTGATTTTTGGTAAGACTTTTTATCATGTCTACCAAAACCTTACCAAAAAGTCTTACCAAAATTAAAAAATCTTACCGAAAAATAAAAGTCTTACCAAAAAGTTTTACCAAAAATCACTATCTATTCTGAGCTTTATTACGCAATCTGTTATAATATTGGATCATATAATAGCCTTTAACATGTAATAGATACCACTTGGGGAAAAATAATTAATTAAAGAAAAAAGTTTATAAAGTATTATATACTCCGGTATATTACCATTACCAAGAAAAATAATTAATTAAAATAAAAAATTTTATAAAGTATTATATACAAATTAGTATGGTGAAAAATAAACAAGTTTGTGATCAATGCGGTAATAAATTTGCCACGCCCCACAAACTTCGTGATCATCTAAAAAGAAAGTTTAAATATAAACCAAAGCCCATTCAAATACCAGTACAACTCTCTACTACACAGGACAAAAACCAAGATCCAAAAGCAGGCCTAGCCCCAGTTACCCAAGACCAAGATCCGGAAGCTGGCCCAGGCCCCGCAACCCAAACCTATAGAGAGAAGCAAACAATTATTCAATCTAATATAAACCAAAAAAAATACGCCTTAGAAAACTATTTTCAATCAATTTACAAAGTAGAAGATGGAATTATAGAAAAAGAGCCACCCTCAAAAAATATAGAATTTTTAGAAAGAAGACCAGACCCCACTAGACAACACCAAAATTTTAATTCTATGACGGTATAGGAAGGTATAGTACCCTCAAACAAAAATTCTGCATATATATTTAATAAACGTCAAGACAACTCAATAAAATATGCCAATGCCCTATACATGCCCCAATTTATGGATTCAGCACGAAGCTCAATTACAAATATCCTTAAAAAAGAGTTTCATAAAAAAGATCAAATAAAATCAGCATTGGTTATTCACGCTACATATATAAAATATAAATATAAGGGGATTGGTGATTCTACCAATATAAAAAACTATGATACGAGTTATCACCACCCGTATCATAGAGGAAACATGCATGTACTTCTTTCAGAAAATGATATAGACTAGCATTTAACACAATCTGCTGGAGAAATTGATGAAAAGATTGAGAAGTACTAAAAAGAAGAGTCTGGCAAAATTCTTCTTCGATTAGAAATAATATTTATCGAGACATATACATACCGCCGATCTAATGGAGGTTCTTATATTCCAACACCCAAAAAGCTTTCCAATACAAAGTGTACTATTAATTCAGACAATTCAGATATTATAGATCCGGCTACGGGCAAGCTTACAGATAATTGTTTCAAAGGTGTATTAGAATGTTATTTTGCAGATAAAGAAGGAATTATAGACCACTTGGGAAGGCGTATATATAGAGCAAAAAGTCTTTGAAAATACTTAAATATAGTCAAACTTGATAATATCCCAATGCCTACACCAATCTGTTCACAGATATTTAATAAGATTGAGGAAATGAATCCGGATATCTCTATTAATGTCTGGGAATAGAAAGAAGAATCAGCAACTCCTAAACCAGTAATAGCCAGCAAGAACTATAATAGACAACATATTATATATCTCATGGCTCTTACAAATATTACCAAATCTGAGGAAGAAAAATACGGACAAAAAAATCATTTTCTTTGGATCAAAAATCCAGATGGATTGGTTTATAAAGATAATGCCAAAAAAGTTAAAAAGTATCTATGTAGCTAATGCTTTCATAGCTTTCAGTCAGAAAAATCTTTAATCTATCACCAAGAGCACTGTTTTGGTTTGGGGAGGCTACTCAATGAGTTACTTTACCCACCAAAGGGGTTAATGATTTTGAAAAGTTTAAAAATCATGCCCAGATGATTAATGCTCCATGTGTAATTATAGCAGACTTTGAGGTGGACAACAAAAAATGCAATGAAGAATATGGAGGACAAATGCAAAAACTTGCCGAGCAAAAAGCCAATATCTTTTGTTATCTAGTTCATTGGTTCAATACTGGAGATATATGGGGGCCTTATCTATATCGAGAAGAAAATGCTACACAAGAAGAATTGATAAGGAGTTGGTCGAAATTAATAAAGTTTTAGCTATTAAGCATGACTGAATTGTAACAGAAAAAGATAAGAAAAAATTTGCCAAAGCCGATACTTGTTGATTTGTAAAGATAAATTTGATGAAGAGAATAATAAGGTTTGGAACTACTGTCATATTACAAATAAGTTCTGTGGACCTGCCCACAATGCATATAATCTTAAACTCCAGATCCAAGCATAGAAGACACCAATTCCAGTTATCTTACATTACTTCAGAGGCTATGACTCTCACTTGGTTTGCGAATCTGTTAGGCAATCTGTTAATGCTCACCAAATCAGGGTCATAGCCAAAACATTTGAGCGATACAAGTCTATAAAGATAGGTCAGCTTAAATATATAGATAGTATACAATTTATGAATAATAGCTTGGCAAATCTTACGAAAAATTTGGGCAACAATCATCCTATTACAAGCCAGCACTTTAAAGACTATTCTTCAGATCAAATTTCATTAGCAAGTCGTAAAGGAGTTTATCCTTATGATTATATAGATTCTCAAGAAAGATTTAAGGAAACAGAGCTTCCTCCTATCTATGAGTTTCATAGTACTCTTAAAAGCAAGATTTCACAAGATAACTATCATCATGCCCAAAAAATATGGAAAACTTTTAGTTGTAAGACTCTAGGAGAGTATCATAATCTCTATCTTACTTAGTCTTGCAGATATTTGGACCTAATTCCGAATGACATGTATGCAGTATTATGAGCTTAATCCTAGTCACTATGTTTTAGCACCTGCATTAGCTTGGGATGCTATACTTAAGATAACAGATGTTAAAATAGAGCTCTTTACAGATATGTCTATGCATGATTTTATAGAAGATGCTAAGCGTGGAGATATAGCTATAGCTTGTAAGCGCTATTTTAAAGCCAATAATCCAAAAATAGGCAAGACATTTGATTCATCTAAACCCACAATATGGATTTCATATGTCGATGCAAATAATCTTTACGGCTGGGCTATGAGTCAGTATTTGCCTATTGGAAATTATAAATGGGAGGTAAGTCGTAAATATCTTGAGGATAATCC